TATATATATATATATATATATATATACTATATATATATATATTCACATAGAAAAACGCTGTTTAAATTGTAATAATATTTCACAATATTACTGTTTTTTTTATCAAATAATTCAGCCTTGGTGAGCAGAAGAGACTTCTTTTAAAAACATAAACAATCTTACCGATCTAAAACTATATATTTCTATACTACTAACAGCAGTGTTGCTGTACACTGGCAAAGAGGGGACATTCTGAACGATATCTATCCAACCAAGTGGGGACTTTGTGTGTGTGTGAACTGGCAGTGAAATCTTTCTTAATTACGCTTACATTATATATCAATTATATACATTATATATATATAAATATATATTATATATATATATATATATATTCACATAGAAAAACGCTGTTTTAAATTGTAATAATATTTCACAATATTACTGTTTTTTTTTTATCAAATAATTTCAGCCTTGGTGAGCAGAAGAGACTTCTTTTAAAAACATAAACAATCTTACCGATCTAAAACTATATATTTCTATACTACTAACAGCAGTGTCGCTCCACACTGGCAAAGAGGGGACATTCTGAACGATATCTATCCAACCAAGTGGGGACTTTGTGAGTGTGAACTGGCAGTGAAATATGTCTTCATTACAGTTAAATTATATATCTATTATATACATTATGTATATATATATATATATATATATATACTATTTTTCTTATTTAACGCTCTCTCTTCATATATACTTTCTATGCTTTGTTATGCAGTCCCTAACAATTTACTTGCCATAGTTATGTGCCATTGCACACACATGTCTATATTACTAACATATACATGTATTAACACAGCAGTGTCGCTGCACACTAGCCAAGAGGGAACTTTCTGAATGATATCTATCCAACCAAGTGGGGACTTTGTGTGTGTGTGTGAACAGTGAATTGAAGTGGCAGTGAAATACACATCCGTAAAGGGGGTCGCACACCGAATGAGAAGCGCAGCGCTGCGCCACGTCTAGGACAACTCCAAGTATCGCACACCGGACTCACTTTCTCATCAGTGTATGGCCAGCAATATTGTTATGTTTAATGACATGAAATGAAGATGTTTGTTCTATGTTATAATTGTACTGTACAATTAAATACAATCGTTGCTGAGTCTGCAGTCTGAAAACTACCTCAGAGCATCAGTTAACTGAATGAATTGAGAATCTCACATGAAAACCCAATTACATCAGCAATTGTCATTCAAGCAGCTGATTTATGTAAATGAATGCAAAACTAAATTTATTGCAGCATAGGGCAAAGTCAGTATACATTATCAACGATTTGAGACAACAAAATAATTTAAACTTTATATAAAACTAAATGGCACTCTGTGGCGGCAGCAGGATTACATTCAAAAGGTCACGGCGACGTAGCCGTAAGTACAGAGTCAGTGTTTACAAGTTGAACGCATAGGTTGAACGTGCAAACTAACTCAAACGCTGTTTACAAAAAAGTAATTAAAAGGTAAAACAGCGATGTCGGACGATTTTGATTCTGTACTTCCGGCTACGTCGCCCGTGACCTTTTGAACGTAATTACGTATTACGTGACGTTACAAACGCGCCTCACAGAATAGAGCTAGGCTAGCATTTGTCCTTAGAAAAGTTACATTTTTGGAATAAGTTTTGAAATAACCGATCGTTTCGCATGATAAGACCCTTATTCATCGTCTGCTGCATCTGAAACTGTTATTAACTGTCTTTTCGACCTTGGACCGTCTGGTTCCCATGTAAGTCCATTATATGGAGAAAAATCCTGGAATGTTTTCATCAAAAACCTTAATTTCTTTTCGACTGAGGAAAGAAAAATATGGACATCTTGGATGACATGGGGGTGAGTAAATTACCAGCAAAAGTTTTTTAAGAGCCACAAACCTGTATATAAAACTCTTTTTATTTTAGATACACTAAATGCAGACAAAGAAAAGACAGGATTTTGATGCAATATGCAAAAAAAGTCAGAACAGTCACACAGCTTGATCAAACAGGATTATGTTATTTTATGTTTGAGATAG